ATTAAATGAAAAATAATAAAAATAAATAATACAAAATATCACTGGAATACAGTGGTGTTTGGCAGTAAGGGCATCAGGAGAGGTAAGTGTGGGATAAATTTTACTCCAGCTTTGAGTTAAGTGACAGAGTCACTTTAAAAGTGAGGTGCCAATGGGATAATAAGAATGTTGGGGGGCAGGAGGGAGTGGGAAAGCTTTGACTTTCCTGTGAACAAGTGAGCAGATCAGCCTTTTAGACATAAAGGGTCCAGAGACCCTTTATATCTATGAGATTTAGTAACTTTTAGGAATCTGCCATACTTTCCTGACTGCAAGCCTGAGCCTGCCTGCAGGAGGATGTTATCTCAGACACATTCTTAGTCTTGTTTAAGCAATAGCGGTTCTGGTGATTACCTGCAGGGCTTCCTCTGAACAATATTCTGTCACGCTGCAGAATTTGTGGACCAGTGATCCATAGGCCAGATAGGCCACTTTCCGTACTAGAGAGCTACTGTGGGAGTTAACAACCTCAAGCAAGGCCTGTGGGAGGAAAAAAAAAGCATGTTATTTATAAAGAACTAATTGACAAATTTCTGTGATTGGCTTCATTCTATGATTCTGTATTGTTGTTTACCAAAAAAACAATAGAGAAAGCAATTAAACTTAGAGAACACGTTTATGTCTAGATAAAAAGTCCCCAGCCCCAATTTTCTACACACCTAACCTACTTTAATTTCAATCCTACCCCTTTGTTCACTTCCACCTACTTTCCAATGGCTATGACCTCCCATGGTGCTTACATCATCTGTTCATAAATCTGTTCATTGCTGCCCGCCTATGAGATTAGCTATCCATAGACATATAGGGTCTTCCTCCAACAGCAAAGCTATGGCCCATTATAGGGGAAGTTACTATGCAGGCAGCACTGTGTAGATTCTCAAAGGGGAAGGACACTTCCTTTTTATGTTACTAGATAAATATTTAAAAATCATAATTGGTCTTTATACAGTATATCTGAATACTCAAGCTTACATATGAATGGCCTATATGTGCTCACCTTATTTGGTTCTACTAATATTGTCTGACTTTTAGGCTCCGTTCCCACTGCGCGATATGCAAATCGCGCGTTTGTCGCACGATTTGCATATTGCGCGACATCGCGAGATTTGCCGCGCGATGTCGCGTTCAAGCTTGCATTGAGCAAGCTTGAATCGCGGCTAAATCCGCTCCAAAAAGGGTCCTGCTGTAGCGACACACGACCCGCGACAGCAGGACCCTTTGCCCCATTGGATTGCATTGGAGCGCGATATCGCGCGGTAATTTGCCGCGATATCGCGGGAATTACCGCGCGATAAATCGCTCAATGTGAACGGGGTCTTAAACTACAGTTATTATTATTATTATACAGGATTTATATAGCGCCAACAATTTGCTCAGCGCTTTACAAAATAGTGGAGACAGTACAGTTACAATACAATTTACAGTACAATACAGTTTCAGAACAATAGGGTTGTGAGGGCACTGCTCGTGAGGGGCAAGTGATACAAAAGGTAATAATTGTTTGGATTTAGTTATTGGAGGAAGTAAAAGCCAGTTATGTTGAGATGAGATAGGCTTCCCTGATGCGATGGGTTTTTAGGGATCGCCTAAAGGTGGGCAGCGTAGGAGATAGGCGGACAGATTGGGGTAAGGCGTTCCAGAGGATGGGGAACACTCTGGAGAAGTCCCGGAGGCGAGCATGGGAGGAGGTAATGAGAGAGCTAGAGAGCAGGAGGTCTTGAGAGGAACGGAGAGGACGGTTTGGCTGATATTTTGAGATGGGATCAGTGATGTAGGTTGGGGCGGAGTTGTAGATGGCTTTGTATGTTGTTGTTAGTATTTTGAATTTTGGGCAAGTGGGAGCCAGTGGAGGGATTGGCAGAGGGGGGCGGCAGACACTGAACGGTTGGTAAGATGGATGAGTCTGGCAGCAGCATTCATGATAGACTGAAGGGGGGGTAGTCTGCTTAGTGGTAGGCCAACAAGGAGGGAGTTACAGTAGTCGAGACGAGAGATTACAAGGGAGTGAATTCGAAGCTTTGTGATTTCGTTTGTTAAAAAGGGGCGTATTTTGGAAATGTTACGTAGGTTGAGTCGGCAAGATTTGGATATTGATTGGATGTCAAGGATTAAGTTTATTTGAAGTGAAAAGATGAGAGCACCAAGCCATAGGGATCTATCCAGATATAATTTTTATCTTTCACAATAAAATAGTCTAAAAAGACTAAAAGAGACTAAAAAAAGAGATGGAGCCAACGCATTTCCAGGTAATGTACAAATCTCCTTCATTGGGGCTCCCGCACATTAAGCCCTGATGAAGTGGAATTTGCGTATAACCCCCAAAGCGCATTGACTGTCAGCTCTTGATAGACTTTTTTTATTATGACAAAAAAAAATGATATCCGGACTGATCCCTACGGCTTGGTGCTCTAATGCTTTCACTTTGCAAAACCTGACTTTCCCAGGGACCCTATCCGAATTCCACTGGGCACTAGAGAGCCGACACACGTTAGGAATCATCTGATTCATTGTGAACCCCCACCAAGCTTGGAGTCTATCACCCGCTGGCACTCTACCTGGAGTGTCGTGTCATTTCATTTCACTGGTAGCCAGAGACTGTGTGATCTTTTACCTAAGTTTCAGGTCACACAAGGAGAGGAGCTTTTTATATATAGGAAAAAAGGAAGTACAGTTTTACTCTAAATAGCTGTGATGTTATAAAGTTGACACACTCTATATTGATTCATCTGAAGTGTGAATTTTAACAATAGGTTCACTTTAAATCAAACACAAAAGGACATTAGCAGAAATAGTGATGATTGCAATGTACGGAAGTGTGACGTGTGTGAACAGGCTGCATTGCCATGTGTGAAGTATTTTAATAACACTAAGACTAGACGTACCTGAGCTTCGGCTATTGCTTCGCGATCTGCTTTAATTAAATGTAAGGCCAGCGGTACAGCCTGTGCTGCTTCAAACTCTGACAGTTCCTTCAGTTTCAGTTTTAGAAACCTTAGCGAGAAATGGTTTGCGATGGCTGGAATAGCATCTAATAGCCAGCGCCTGAAAAATAAATAAATAAAGATATATATAGATATATATATACAGTATAGAAAAACAAAACGGAGTATTGTAGTATGCGATGATACCTTTCTTATTGGACTAACAAAATATATAAAAGACAAGCTTTCGAGAGTTAACCTCTCTTCTTCAGGTCAGAAGCAATACTAATCAACATGACAACGTTTACCACTTAAAGCAAGAGAAAGTTGTTAGGGAGGGGGGTGAGTGGGGTGTCATAAATGTTGGACCTGGGAGTAAAGAATGTATCCTGATAACTAGAACACAGAACAAATAAACATAGGATGACCAATAAATCCTAAACAGATCAGGGATATACAACATATATGAATATTATTATGTTCTGTATATTCATAAAAAGTTCTGCTAGTGTGTAAGAAAACCAGAATCCACATTAAGTCCCTCCTTTATGGAATTGAAATGTAAAATAATTTTTAAGCGCTGCGCAAACTGTTGGCGCTATATAAATACTATGTAATAATGTTTTTTATTTCAAATGTTTTTCTTTCATGAGAGTTTTTAAAATTCCCTTTCAGTACTTTAATATTGAGGTTTTGGATGGAGTGATCTTTCTGGGAGAAGTGATGTCCTACTACTATATACTGTCCTACAGTATATATATATATACATACATATATTATACACATATTGAGGGTCTTTATTTTTTTAATTTAGTTAAAAATTGGTTAATTCCAGCAAAATGTCATCAATTTGGCCAAATGCTTTGACAATAGGGAAGGTGAATTAAAGGTGTGTTTTTTTGGTTTTTAAGGATGCAATGTGCTTTAAATGGTTGCCAAAGTTTACAGAAGCTGGTGAATAGGGAATATTCCAAAAATTAGGAAAACACTTGGTCAACAGAGGCGCCCACCAATTTTGAGGATCCAAGACTGGATTTTTGGTTGTAAAAAGGATTTTATTTACATCAAATGATTCAGGTAAAACATTTTCAAATGCCTTTTGATCAGCCACAGTAGTCGCAATACTGGGAGTGGGATTTGCATTCTTTAAAGCTGTTGTCTTTGTACACACCATCCAGAAGAAGTGGCCACCATTTGCCATGAAATGCGTTGAAGGTATTTTACCTGAATCTATTAAATAAATACTGTTTTTGGCAACTGAAAATCATTCTTGGACCCAAAATTTATAGGGACAGTCAAAAACTTTGAAAACATTAGCAAAGAATACAATATACTACCCTAAATACACCCCCACCCCAAATTTTTTAAAAAACCCCAGCAGATAAAGAGACATAAATTTCTGGGAAATCACTCCACCCATCCCTAATATATACATGCACATACAAACACTTACAGTGTTCCCTTCCCACCACTCCGCTAATCCCATAGAACCCTGAGGAATGGAATCAACTTGGAGCTTATATAGACTTTTTCTTCTTGCTTCTGGTGGTCAAGGATTAGTATAAATACTAGCATCAGTATATTTCATACATATGTTTCCATGACCTAATATGAGGTATATCAGCATACTTTTCCCTACCTAAGAATACATACAAAGGCTGGAGGCAAGGTGAGCTCTGCTTCTCTAATCTTATAATCTATCTGAAATACAAACTTTTAACAATTGGAAAAAAAGGGAAGTGGAGGAGTCGGGAATGAAAGTCAGCAGTGACAGTATCCACGTTTCTCTCATGACAGCTTTCTTTAAAGTGGCTCTGTAATGAGAAAAGTATGGGGGGCTGCCATTGCTGACCTTTGCTTTAAGGATGTTAGTTCTCTGACTGTCATGGTGTTGCGTTGGCTTTGACGCTTCCTGAGTCACTGACCTGGAACAAATATAGAGATAAGGAAATCTGATGTTATTCTAACATTACAGCATGCGTATTACGGGTATGTGGTCTTAACAGTTTGGAGCCAGACAGAGCCGAGGATATAGTATTATGGAAAGGGGAACAACATTGGCAGCCCCCATACGTTTCTCATCAGAGAGTCACTTTAAGAGTCTAAAAAGGTCAAAGGTCAAGGTCCTGCAGCTAACTATCATATAAAGTTGCAACATCCTAGGTCTGTAGATACAGCCAATGCATTTTGGGGCTCATAAATTCCCTTTCTTCAGGGCATTTGTGCTGGCAGTTTTTTCAGTACATTGCACAGTGAGAGGCATAAAGCGAGGAGGGAGCCAGTGTTTCAACAAGACTGACAGACACACAAGCCTGATAAAAATTGATTTATGAGTCCCAGAAACGTGTTGGCTATATATTCAGTTGTTAATTGGTATCTACAGTGTGAGATCTAAGGCATGGCTGCCTCTGCCTGCTGGTCTCAGGAGATTCCGAGTAAGATTTGGTGATGTCACTGCTATGCTGCTCACTGTTCTCCTTGCTGGAGACTCTGACGTGAGGAAGCAAAATTCTGTCTTTACCAAGATGGCCACCTCCATACAGAGACATGGTGCAGAACAAGATATGGTAGGTCCAAAACCACAGGCAATACTGGTGACTAGTCCTTAACCCTCTGGGCTGCCTTTTTTAGGCACAGCATCTAGAGTTCAATTCCACTTTAAGGCTGTAAATGTTAAGATATGCTTGATGGGGGCGTGTCCTGCGCATGGCGGAGTAAGTCGCATAGATCCAGAGCTCCATGGTGTCATTATCAATTACATTGATTTTGCTGCACTTATACCACCCCAAGACCAGCCGAACTAATGACATCGAATCGCCGGAAGGATGGGGCTTCCTACTCCCAACAGAATACGCCATCCCTACAAAGATACTTCTCCACGAGGAGTGGATCGCGGGACCGCCGCGAACCCAACATGGCGCCGGAGGCCTCACGCACCCCTTCATTACGGAAACGAACACGCTCTGTCTCACCTGTCACCAGTGGCTCCCCGGCGGGACACCGGTCTCCCCGGCTCGGATTCCGCTGATGTCGATCGGGAGATCCAACAACCTACTCCAGCGGACGTGCCGGAGGAGTTCAGGGCCCTGCTCCAATTTCTGCCAACGAAGGAGAACTTTGCAGCCCTGGTCACCACGGTGGAGGCGGCCCTCCAACAAGACCTATGCAAGGTGAGACAAGAGGTCCGTACGATCGCGGCGGAGGTGACGGCAGTTTCCGCCTCATGCTCGGCGATCAACGCCGGGTTCAGAATTTGGAACAGGCCCAATCGGTTCCCACTGCTCCTCTTGCCACTCTCCAAATGCAACTGGAGGACCTAGAGGACCGCAACCGGCGACATAATATTCGAATCCGGGGGCTTCCAGAGGCAAACCCACCCTCTCATCTCCGCACAACAGTGCAGGCGATATTCAGCTCCTTGCTGCCGGAGAGGCCACCGACGGAGATCCTGCTGGACCGGGTCCATCGCACCCTAGGCCTCCCATCCTCAGAGGCGGCCCGTCCACGTGACGTCCTGTGCCGTTTGCACTATTATACGATGAAGGAGGACATAATGCGGCAGGCATGGCAGCAGAGGCCAGTGATGTTTGACGGTGCAAGCCTGCAGATCCTTCCAGACCTGTCACGTAACACATTGAGACGCCGAGCTCTGATGCGACCCCTACTTGATGGGATTCTCCAGGCCGGGGCGACCTATCGCTGGGGATACCCTATTCGCCTGCATGTCCGTAAGGATGGCTCTACCCACACAATACGTTCCATGGCGGACCTGCCCGGTCTCTGTGCCTTCCTCAATATACCTACCATTCAAGTTCCAGACTGGATGGCGTACATAACGGATGAGGACACCGGAGCTCCGAAGCCTCGACGTCCCAGACGACCCCGCCACTCCCAGTCTGATGCTCCGCCTGACCGGAATCTTCCAGAGAGCGCCCAAGAAGCCACGGAACCGTAAAGGACAGTGAGTGCTCTCTATGTTTTGCCTGCTGTTTATTTGACTGTTTCGGGCCGTTGTGCCTCACCCTCACTTTGCGGAGTTCCGGACGGTGGTGGAGCCTCGGATGCACAGCCGGGACGCCCCACCTAACATACCGGCCACCCCACTTTATAGCAACGCTCACCACTCTGCCTCTCAGCCTGCCCTACAAGATTGACAATCCGAAGACACGCTACTGCCCTAGCCTTCAGTGACCCGGGGAATGCCGGTGAGCTCCCCCCCCCCCCCCCCAGTGTCACTGGCGACAACGCTGTCTACCTTCTTTTTCTTTTCTTATTATATTTGCTCTGGGGTCCCACCGTCCGAATACGGTTTCTATTATGGTTTGTGATATCGGGGGATGAGGGCTGCTGCCCATACAGCGGTTGTTTTCGAGCCCGCACTATATTAGCTACATATGGGATTTTCTGTTGTGCGGGACCATATGGCAGGTAGAGGTTACCTCTAGGGGTTGCGGGAGATGCCTTGTTCCGCTCCGTGTTACATCCCCTCAGCTCTGTTCGATTGGAGGTCGGGGAGAAGAGCGACATACCCGGTTGGCTGGACCCATGCATTCGTCATACAGCGGTCCGGTATTCCTGTTGAATCTGGGTCTGTGCTGCTTTACCTCCCTGCTCCCCACTCATAGTGGATTGTTCTTTGCTGGTTACAAGTTTGTTCATATTGTTTTATCACAATCTGTTTATGCAATATTCTGAAATTGAGACATCTGATCTCCCACGGAGCTCCGCTCCGCGCCTGCTCAGACCCGTTTTCCCCAGATAGTTACTCCCAGTGGTATTCTAGGTGCCACAGGAGTCTTGAACTACGGTTCACATTTAGAATCCTTCCTAGTGTTTGTCGACCCCTCTTTTTTCCAAGTGTTGCCCCCCTCCCCTTGGTGCTCCTAGTCCTTCCCCCATCCTTGTAAGCTCCCCTCCTTGCCTCCCTTTCTTCTCCGATCCCTTTCCTACCTACCTACTCTTTCTCTTTGAACTTCTGCTCTTCTTCTCTGCCCCCCCCAATTTACCATGTTATCACTCAAGGTAATGTCTCTCAATACCCGAGGGCTGAATGTCCCCGAAAAGAGGCGGATGGTTCTGACGGATCTGCATCGCCAACGTGCACAGGAGACCCACTTTACCGAGGGGGGAGCACCTAAGCTTCACAACCGCAACTATCCCTTGGCGTATCATAGTTACTCCCCGGACAAAAAATCGCTGGGCGTAAGTATACTGATAGCACGCTCAGTTTCATGGCAGTTAGTTGATATGTCGGCTGGGGAAGATGGGCGCCTTCTGATGGTGAAGGGATCCGTTAACGGTCAGAGGATGACTTTCGTGAATTTATATGCTCCTAACCAGGGCCAAGTCTCATTCTTGGAACGAGTTCTGGCGCGAGTGGATGAATTCAGGGACAGTATCTTGCTCATTGGGGGGGACTTCAACCTCCACCTAGATCCCGGGGTTGACTCCTCCAACCAGATGTCACACCTATCCTTTTCAGCTGTACGCCGACTTAGGAAAGACCTACATACGCACCAGCTTATTGATGTTTGGCGCCTACAACATCCCACGACTAAGGACTACTCCTTTTACTCAGCGGTTCATGATACCTACACACACATCGACTACTTCCTGGTACACCACAGCTCTCTCTCTTATGTACTCAGCACCGAGATAGGCAGTATCACATACTCTGACCATGCCCCTGTGCTTCTTACCCTGGAGTTGGGATCGCAGACACCTCGGTCATGGCACTGGCGTCTGAATGAATCGCTACTCTAGGAGCCTGATCTCATTGCGGAAGTGGAAAGGGACCTGAAAACGTACTTCGACATAAAAACTACCATAGATTGCTCCCCTTACTCTATTTGGGAGGCTCATAAGACATACATTAGGGGGACTTTAATTAAGATCGGTGCACATCGTAAGAGACAGAGGATAGAACAACAGACGACTCTTCTATCTCAGATCCACTCCCTGGAAGTTTCCCATAAAAGGCGCCAGGATTCGGCTACATTGTCGAAGCTACGTGAACTTCACGAAACTCTATGTGCTCTATACTAGGATAGAGCCAAAGCTATGCTCTCCAAGTGATGAAGACATTTCTATGAGTATGGAAATCAATGTAGTCGATCCCTAGTCCAGGCGCTACGTGTTCAATGGTCTCGGAATATCATTCCGGCGATTAGATCGCCCAAGGGACAGAAATCCCATCTATCAAAAGACATCGCTGCTGCTTTCAGGAACTATTATTCCTCCCTATACAACATCCCGGGTCCCCAAACTGCACAATCCCTGACCAAACGACAACAGCACATCCGATCCTACCTGCTCTCATCTAAAATGCCAAGTTTACCAGCGGGGGTCAGTGAGGCGTTAGACACTTCCATTTCACCCCTGGAGCTGGACAATGCGATCAAACAAACTAAAACGTGCAAAGCCCCCGACCCTGACGGTTTTCCACTGACATACTACAAAAAATTCCCCACCATACTTAACTACCCGTTATTGTCGGCCTGGAACTCAGTTCTCACGGGTAAGACGCTCCCACGTGATTCCTTGGCGGCACACATTGCCGTAATCCCCGAAACCTGGTAAGGACCCTATGGTATGCCCTAGCTACCGACTCATATCCTTGCTCAATGTGGATACGAAATTATATGCCAAGGTGTTATCCACACGGCTCCTTCCATTCATACCCTCCCTGATACACCCAGACCAGGCGGGCTTCGTCCCCTCGAGAGAGGCCCGAGATAATACCACCCGGGCTCTAAACATTATACACTCGACCCTGTTGAAGTCCACTCCCAGCTTTCTTTTATCAGCCGATGCAGAGAAGGCCTTTGACAGGGTCGATTGGTCCTTTCTACGGCTCACCTTGGAGCACTTTGGGCTTGGACCGGGCATGTTGTCCTGGATCATGGCCTTATATAACGGACCAACGGCGAGGGTGTGTGTAAATGGCACCCTTTCCGAACCGTTTGGGATCACCAATGGGACACGTCAGGGTTGCCCCCTTTCTCCGCTGATTTTCATTTTAACTCTAGAACCCTTACTGTGCTCCATCCGGATGAATCCGGACATCAGGGGCATACAGGTTGGCGCCCACCAACATAAGATAGCTGCCTACGCTGACGACTTATTATTTTTCCTTACGGCCCCAGACACCTCTGTGCCCAATCTCATGTCTGCCCTCCATCTATATGGGGAACTATCCAATTTCCATATAAACAGTCAAAAATCGGAAGCGTTGAATCTCACTATTCCCCCCTGAATGCTCGAACGCATATCCCTAAATTTCCCATTTCAATGGTCTTCGTCCTCTATTAAATATTTTGGAGTGCACCTCCCGTGAGACCTAAAACACACTTATAGTCTTAACTTTTTGCCACTTCTCCAGTCAGTTCAATCGGACCTCCTTGGGTGGTCACGACAGGCCTTCACTTGGACGGGTAGGTGCAATGTTATTAAACAAAATGTACTGCCAAGGTTCCTCTACCCGTTTCAAGCATTACTGATTTCTCTGCCCAGCAGCTTTTTTGCCTCGATACAGGCCATGATCACACGGTTTGTTTGGGCGGGCAGGACACCGCGACTACGACTGTCCATTTTACGGAGAACTACGGAATCAGGGGGCCTCGCCTTACCAGACATTCAGCTCTATTATGTAGCATCACACTTGGCCCGCGTTATGGACTGGTGCCGACATGAAGAGATTAAGCCTTGGGTGGCCATAGAGCAGGGCATGTCCGCCATTCCGCTTGCGGTGTTACCATGGTGCGACAAACAATTGGATAGGGCAGTTAGGCTACACCCCACGATAGGAACCACTTGGCGAGTAGCCCGATCTGCCTTTCTGGGGAAGCAACTTTCGCTGTCTCCCTCACCCTTGATGCCGATAATAGGCAACCCGCAATTCCCACCGGGTCTCGAGGATAGACTACTTTCGAACCTTCGGGCTGCGGACAAGTTTCGAGCAATGCACTTCTTAAAGGGTACATCATGGCAAGCCCTCCCAGACCTTTCAGCAGACCCAGCTCTGGGCGGCCTGGGTCTATGGAGACACCTTCAACTCTCTCATTACCTCGCATCCATCCCAGACCCGGCAGCTTTCAACCACCCTTTGACACCTCTCGAACAAGCCTACACAGACCAGGGCCCCCTACCAAAATCCTTATCCTTTTGCCACCAAACTTTGCTATCTTCTGACTCGACCGAACCACTACACTTCGTAGAGAGATGGGAAACAGAGTTAGGGATGCAATTTACAACCCCAGAAAAGAGCAAGATAATGCAGCTGTCCCTGAAAGCATCCATCTGCAATAAGTTCCAAGAATCGGGATATAAGATTCTGACGAGATGGTACAGGACCCCTCATAGACTAAATCTTATGTATCCCGCCCTGCCAGATGTTTGCTGGCGCTGTGGTGCACCAAATGCCGACATGCTTCATGTCTTTTGGTCCTGCACGAAACTGGCACACTTTTGGTCCCAGGTACGACTTATATCTAAAAAATTCACTGACCGTCCTATTCCGGCTGACCCAGCCTTTTTTCTACTGCATCATAACCAGTATACGCACAAGGGATATAGACGGTCAATAATGGTCCATCTGATCAACGCAGCATGAGCCTGTGTACCTCTGCTGTGGAAACAGGAAGCTCCACCCTCGGTAAAGCTTTGGTTCACCAAAATTAATGACCTTAGGTATATGGAAGATCTCACCAGTCACATCAAAGATACTTCCTCTAGATTCAATGCTACCTGGCACTACTGGCTCGAATATACAACCACGGATGAATATCGGGCATATATGGCACCTTGAGCGATGCCAACTCTATGGTATACCCCCCTGACCCCTCTACCTTTCTGCCTTTCCTTTCACTATACCTGGCCTTCTCTCTACCCCTCCCTTACCCTCCCCCCTATCTTTTAGCATTCCAGTATCTATCCATCCTTCAGGTATTCAACACCTTCCTCGAGGTAGCGGTTATTTATGGTTCGCTAGGTAGACGTGATAATACCTCAGCCATTTACGGACCATTTAAAAGTTGGAGCTTTACCCCAAGGGAATAGGAGTGCTCGACTCCAAAATATGAGGTTGTACTTGCTCACAGCTCAATATTTTCATACCAAGCTCCTTGTGTGGCCTTGAGACGATATTAATATTACTGGATGCCTGTTATTTCCCATGCTCTCCCCACACATGTCTGTATATTATTTGTTCGTGTATTCCCTCCTTCTACTGTATGTAAATGACATAACATGTTATGTTGCGAAAATAAAATAATTTATAAAAAAAAAAAAAATATATATGCTTGATGGCAGTGCCTTGCTGGTATTCAGGATTCAGGTGCAAAGTCATGTTTGTTCCCTTTCTTTATGAGCAAATCTATGAATTTATAATGCACAAAGCTTTATATATACATTTCCAGTTTGGTTAGCATTGGGGGAGTATGTCATATGGAGGTCACAAGACAGGGATGATATAAGTGAATTCCCCTAGCGGGCCAGTAAGTAACACAATTTAGCCCCTGATAGACTCATGTTTACTTTACCTGTAATGGTCCCTTCCTGAAAATTGCTTCCATAGGCCTTCTATTTCTTCCAAGCTTGCCATTCGTAAATGTTGTACCAATTCCAGAAACTTTATTGGAGAGGCCTTCGAAAGCGGTCCCATGTTATGTTCCACCAAATGCTGCAGGAGAGAACTAATCTACAAAAAGAGGAAATTTGTAAGAATCGTGGATAGTATAAAAATGGATCTCCAATCGAAAGATGTTCTTTTCAATAAAACCTCAGTAACATAAAAAGTATATGGCTGTCATTTATTTATTTATATATAGGTGCTTATATAACGCTGACAATTTACAGAGCGCTTTATGTAGTTGCACATTCACATCAGTCCCTGCCCTCAAAGAGCTTACAATCTAAGGTCCATATCTCACATGCATACATACAAGGGCCTATTTAGAGAGGAGCCAATAAACCTACCACCATGTCTTTGAAGTATGGGAGGAAACTTGAGTACCCGGAGGAAATCCATGTAAGCACAGGGAGAACATGCAAACTCCTTGCAGATAAGAACCCCAAGAAGTGCTAACCACTACGTATTTAAGAAATATCTAAAGCCCAGACATATTTTTTAAGTTTTGAAAAGCATGGGAAAGGGTGTCAGGGTACCAGGGGTCTTACCACTCCTCAGGGTTGCCAAGTGTGGCATAGGGCACGGGGTCTCCTTCCTGGCAGGACTCCTGGCACCAGGGTTGCTTGTGCGCATGCGTGAAATGCGCAGCGTGCACAGTGGAAGGCTGCGCGCGTAGTGCGCCTGCGCCCATTTCTGGTGTCAGGTGTGGGTCTTGCTGGGAGAGGTTTCCAGCACACACCCTCTGCCTTTCTCTTTGCCATTGGCTCCTGGATGGAGAAGTCTTCCAGGTTGCCTCGACAACCAGGGGGTGGTCTTAGTTCCCCACTGGGTATAAATCCCAGTCAGAGCCCTGGCTCATTGCTGAGTTATTATACCTACATGGTGCAATCGCCTAGCTTCCTGTGTTTGCTGCTGCTGCTATTTCCTATCCCCTCATCTGACTTCCTGTTGCTGACTCTTTGGCCTGCCTTCCCGTTCTTGAACCAAGCTGCCAGCCTCGACCCGGACTGGACTTTGACTTCGCCTTTGGATTGCCCCTTTTGTACCTCGCTTTCGGTCAACTGCCCGTTCCTGCCCGTGGTTTCCGCTTCCTGGCCCAGGCTGACGATACCTCCTGACAAAGGGTTAGAACCTTGTCAGGTTTATCTAGTGTCCCTGCTAGGGAGGTTCTCTATTTGTCCTGGTGACCACTGTGACTGGGTCCACCAAAACAGTAAAAGAGGAGAAATCTTTCAGTGGGGACACCCGGGCCTGTGAGTGAGAATCATCCAGCGGGGGCACTTGTTCCGGGCCCTTTTTTTTAAAAGGAGAATTCCTCTTCTTGTCACTTAGCTCCTGGGGGCAGGAAGTAAAAAAAGAACTTCTCATCAGGACACAGAGAGCAGAAAGTGAAAACCTGGCAGAGGTTTTAACTATTCCTTACTCTATCCAAAACTCAAAAAATATAAGCTATAGTTAACCTAACCTGGTCTAAAACATTTCTAAGACCTGTGGAGAAACTGTTATGGTGTCTGGCAGTACCTTTGTTCACCTTCAAATTGTTCCCTGTGTTCCTTTAACCTAGTGATCCAGCCAGTTTTTCCAGCTAGTTCTCCTAGATCAGGGGCGGGCAATGCCAGTCCTCCAGCTATGCTATGCTTTAACTACAAATGACAACATGCCTCTGGGAGTCATGCCTGTAACTGTCAGCCTTGCAATGCCTCATGGGACTTGTAATTCCACAACAGCTGGAGGGCCAAAGTTGCCCACCCCTGCCCTAGATCCTAGATTTAGGCTGTATCTAGTGTCTTAACTGCCCAAGAAGAGATTTAGCTACTGAATTCAGGCCATTGACAGGTGAATTACAGAGTCAGGGTTTAGTGCAGGGTTCCCTGCACCACTTTTCTTTCTGAGGAGGGCAACAATCCTTTTCACTCAGTCCATGCAATGACATACCGTACATTGGTAGAAGGTATCTATCGTCTCCTGACATTGCACTCCCACCCACCAGCTAGATTCTCATCTACTGGCCATGCATAGAAAAGACTAAGAGGGAGGTTGAATAGTCATGTGACAGCAATAACTAAAGTGAAACAAGGCTCTACATAACCTTGGATAGAGCGGGGAAGAGTTAACCACTCAGGAGACAGGGACACAGGGATTATACTGAAGCATGGGAACTATATTTTTTCCTCTTTTTATACCTTCTCAGCTGAGTGATCACAAACAGGTACAAAAATGTATGATATTACATATGGCAGTCAGGAACATGGACACACCATGAAGCATAAAGCCTCTAGCTATCCATATATCCATAGATAGAGTGGGGAAGAGTTAGAATCCCTAGGGGACACAGGGATCACTCTGCATCATGGGAACAACATTTTTTCCCCTTTTTTATACCTGCCCAGCTGAGTGGTCATGAACAGGTATAAAAATGTAAGATGTTACATATGGAAATCAGAAACATGGATGCACCATAACGCATAAAGCCTCTAAGTAGCCATGAGTGGAGTGGGGAAGGGCTTGAACCCCTCAGGGATCCAGGGATCAATCTGCATCATGGGGCCTACCCCTTTATTCTTCTTTTATACCTTCTCAGCTGAATGGTCACGAACAGGTACAAAAATGTAAGATTTTACATATGGCAGTCAGGAACACGGACACACCATAAAACATAACTTTGGTTTTCACAGGAAGGATTGTAGTCAAATTATAATTGGGTGCTATTATACTATGCAGCCATTTTAAATACAATTCATAGAAACATATCCTTACAGAGTTCTCCTTTAATCTTGAGCCATTTTATACAATTACTGGCATCTTAGAGCAGCAATGCGTGAAAACTTGGCCCTGCTTGTCACGCCAAGAGGAGACTTTGTGCAGACACCAATTATATTTTTTTTCCCCCCTACATCTCCAAAATGCATAGCAAACTGGAATACAAAAAGCCGACAGGATATTCTTAGCCGTCACGTACCTGGTTCTCTGCATTTTTTGTTCTTAACAACTGAATAGGAGTTTGAATCAGTTTCCTCTCAAAGTGATACCGTAGCGACTCTTTGGTAATATAGTCATTATTCTCTGGGGTCGAATGAATCTGCTCTTGAACTGCAGCTAATACAAGTCTCTGCCTGTGAAGGGTAACAATGATATGAATCTCGTGCAGTATTAGAGGGGAATTTGTACACCTTGAATAAAACAAGCTTCTCTTGCTGCACAGCGGAGGTTTTATTTTTTCTTTGTTATATACTTTATATTTTCTATTCAAATGGGAGCTGCTAAAATAGGTTTGCAGTTTTTTGTTTTTTTTCTGCAATTCTATCTAGGCCACAAGTTATTCAACTGGAACAGAGGCGTGCGATGCACTAATCAGCCCATTCACCTTACATACCTTTAAATTGTGTTACAGACATCTACACAAGTAGAGTAATCTTACTCAAATGTTAACTTGATCAATACGTTACCAGATTTGCTGACACTAAAATACGGTTTTGTGAAGAAAATGCTTATACTGGATATGTCCTCTCAGGGGACCAAAAGGACCTTGGTCACATGATCTCTGCCAAATGGGAGGATTAGTGTTTGAAATGGCTGATTCTCCTATTTTGCAAGGATCACACAACCAAATTCCTCGGGACATGCACTTTGTGACGTAAATTTTTTGTCACCAAAACCAATCTGCTCCATTTGTAGACAAAACTGTAAAAAGTGGTGCCTAATAGTTTAGGTGATACTTTAGTTTCTGGGGTTATCTAGCTTAAGGGTGATTAAACATCAAAGTGACACTAAACTCAGGAGTTGAATTTAAAAAATACATTCAAGTACCTTAACTATTAACAAAAATGAATCTTATTTGTGTATCACTCGGCTGTAGATCCTCAAATCATCTCTGAATTGGTGCTGACACTGTCCTTCCTTCTAGAGGGTGGTTACTTTTGTTCCCCATGGTCCCTGTGTGTGTTGTAAAGTAGCCACCACTCCAAGCTTGATGGACTACAATCTCAATACAAATTAGCAAATTAAATGTGAGATTGTAGTCCATCAAGCTTGGAGTGGTGGCTACTTTACAACACACACAGGGACCATGGGGAACAAAAGTAGCCACCCTCCAGAAGGAAGGACAATGTCAGCACCAATTCAGAGATCTACTGCCGAGTGAATAAGATACATATTTGATGGCAAACCCCCTCCCCTTATCTGCAATACAGGTCTGTGGTGTGAAGATACTTGTACCGAGGGGAGTGGCTGTTACTCAGCTCTGCAGCCTTTTCACTGAGAAAAAGGGTGTTTTAGGAAATTTCCTAGAAAAAATAATTATTCACAAATAACAAACATGAGGGGTAGGGTTACGAGACTATAAAGGGATAAAAGGTGTGAGGCGCCAACTAGGTTCTCAATGTTAGCAGAGGTGCTGATTGGAGCACTGTGCAGGAGGTATGTCAGAAAGCAGGAGACTCAGATTGCTGAAGTCCTTGTGAGAGCACCAGTCCAGCTCTCCAGCGTGCTGTAAGCACAGGGGAGTGTCTTACAGTTTTAATCAAAAGTACATAAAAAACAGCATAGTCTTTGCTTCTCATGCAGCCTGATGGACCAGTTAAAACAAATCAGGAATTTACATGAACATAGGCAACATTTCCAGCAACCAAAACAACTTAGGCTGCATCTCCGTAGAGAAAATTAAACATAAAGCACAAAACTTGCCTGTCTAGTGATATTTTACAATCCAAAAAACAGTTGTACCTTGTGTCGACCTCCTCAAAACATCAACTTTTGTAACTTTTGTGTGGTGGCAGCCTTGTTTACAAGGCTGCCATCACACATGTCCCTCTCTGCAGGCCAACAAAACCTTTTCCCCCTAAAGATTGATAGACGCCTTGTAAAGGCATTTACCTTCTTTGTATAGCAGCCTTTCTTAACCAAGGTGCATGCCAGGAGTGACTTCTGGCTACTTCAGGGGTGAAATTTGAAATTTTCAGACATGTTATAACTATCTATGTTGCAAACAGGCTGGCCGGCCACCAGCATTAAGGCTCATAATGTGAAGGGGGCTCCTCCTAATGTTAAGGAGGGCTCCTAATATAAAGGAGGATGCTGATACAGTATGAAAGGGGAATTCAGATGTGAAACAGGGGCTCCTGATTTGAAGGTGGGTCTGTGATGTGAAAGAGGAAACCATTTGTGCATAGGATCCCCCATTAAAATCCATCCTAGACCCCTATCTGGGATAAGGGTTTGGTATGGATTTCGGAGGGCCACACAATGTTTCTTATGTTTACTTTTTTTTACATTTTAGACTGGGGTGCCTCGAGATTTTGCATACTTTTAAAGGGTGATGTGACCTAAAAAAGGTTGAAAAAAATGCTGCTCCAAAGGATAGTTACACTAGCCAAATTGGGCCAGATGATTTCGGGTTCTGCGGAAACAAATAGCATCCTTTCATAGCCAAATTGACTTTCCCAGAGATTTACTGGCACATGTTCTGTGTTTAACCATCACTTTCAATGTGTTTCCATCTAGCAGCAAAACCTGCATCACACCAGTATCTATGAGCTTGTTCAGCAATGCAGTTCAAAGGGCAGAAAGTAATTAGATCTCAGTGAACAGTAGCAAGCTCAGTATCAGGATGAATTATGTGCAGCTGCTATTGGTTACTGCATTGTGTCCATGGCAAATGAACGTTACAAAGAACTATTGAATAAAACCATTTAGCTTGACCTCTGAGCATAACTACAACACAAAAATATTCTTGCTTTTCAACTGACAAGATATAGAAATGTACCTTGCTTCCACCAACACAGCTCCATTGATTTCATTGAACGGTGTGAACTGGTGAACTTCTCGCACTTCTGCCCCCAAAAGTCGACCACCTGTGTTTGTTGCTTTCACGTCGTAGTTGTAGGTCGCAGCTGCTCGGGAGTTTTTGTTTCTCTCAAGAGAAGAGACCATCAACAAAATTATTATATTGTTCTATGATAACAGTGAATAAAAAGTGAACTCCTGAAAAAGTTATGAAGGAGCTCGACCTTTGACTATACACAAATACTGATTTATAGCATGCTTGCCTACCTGCTGGCACGAGGGGCATGGGTAGAAATAGGCATTTCCAGTGACCATCCTCTCACGTTCTTCACAGTCATTTAGGTTTACGGATTTGGTAATGACCATGTGCTTCGTTTTAGGTTGATTTTGAATCATGTAGCTGGTATGGCAAAGTCCACCAATTCCATTCTATCAGAATAAAGAGGACAGTTCCATCATCATTATGATCGTGGTCATCATTATCCATATCAATAAATATATACTGTATATAATGGTGAGTCCAGTGTCACTGAATGTAAACCATACAATGGAATCATCTGAACTCTAGACATATAGACACAAATGAATGCAGATTTGTAGTCATTAAAGGAGAACTATGGGTTAGGTGTTTTTCCACATAGTTCTCCTAAGGGTCACGGGAGGACATATACTAGCGTCCTCCCGTAAGCCAAAGCTCAGTATATCGCGAGCTACAGTTCGTGGTATACTGAGACCGCCGCAGCCGGGATGGATCCCGATATTACTGTCGAGATCCACCCAGCTGACATTCAGTCACTTGACATCTCAGAACCACAAAGGAAGTTATTGTTGGCAGACTTCCGTATGCCAACTGTTGTTATCACAAGTCTCAACAAGGAGGATGCAGCTATATAATATAATGTAATGCCCGGCAGCATTTACTGACCACAGGTCCCACTCTGATTGATGTTTGAATGGTAAAGTATCTTCACTAGCCCAACATACCCTATTAGTAATAGTTCAGAGGGCAATCCCCTCCTCCTATTAGTAGTAGCTCAGGGGGCAATCCCCCTTCTCCCAGACCAGTCTTCCCCTTCATGAGCAAAGCAGATAGCTAGCTGTTAAAAATATATACAGTGAAATGTTACAGGTTTTCTGCTTTGCAGGCAAGTCCATGATCGTATACTGTATTTCTTCAATAAGAAAACTGATTTTATGGCATCCATTGTACAGCAAAGACGCTGTCTGTGCTAAATGGTCCTCCTACTCCAAATCTGCATAAGATTATATGTTTAAAATGTTTCACTCCAAGGATGAAAGCATATGAAGAGCATATCAAAAATGACTTTCAGATAACCTTTACAACAACTAGAAAGTACTCACTGAAAATATAATTGAACAATCTTTAAAGTAGATGTCACCCCAACCGGCTGACATTTAGTTTGCTGCAGCATCAAGTATCATAAGCTATTTTCAATTTTATTTTCGAAAATAATGTTTTCCCTTCCTTCATCCTGTTTCTTAGTAGTGCCGATCTCCTCCAGCCTCTTTGCATCTCCTCCCTGCCTGCATGCCCACACTCCAGTGGCAGCTGCATGTCGTTGCTTAGGATGACTTTCCTGATCGTGACAACAGTGGACCATTTCTGAGCAATGTGTGTCAACACGGCCGCTTGAAGTCTCCAAAGGAAGCTCATGTGTTAACACAGTAGAGCAATTAGGAGACAGTCACAAGAAGGACACTATGACAGTAAGAGCCTGAAGAAACATTTTTGGCGTAGGATCACCAGAATCTCCTAAAAGTTAGGAGAATTCACATTTAAGACAGTTAGCACCACAAGGTTTGTTCCCCTTACTTGTTGCTCTCCTGACAACTCTGAGCTTCCATTTACATCTTTGCGGTGTGTTTAATGTATACACATTACATGTGCATTACACCAATCAGCCATAACATATGACCACTGAGAGGTGAAGTGAATAACATTGACTATCTCATTACAATGACACATGGAAGTGGGTGGGATATACTAGGCAGCAAATGGATATTTTGTCCCTGAAGTTGATGTGTTGGAAGCAGAAAAAATGGGCTACGGATCTGACCGACCTTGCAAGAGCCAAATTGTAATGGCCACTTGGTCAGAGCATCTCCAAAACTGCAGTTATTGTGGGATGGTCCCAGTCGGCAGTGGCCAGGAACAGCAAAAGTGGTCCAAGAAAGGAAAATCGGTGAACCAGAGAAAGGGTCATTGGCATCCAAGACTCATTGATGCACTTGGATGGACTTAAAGGATCTGCAACTGATGGTTTGGTGCCAGACACCACAGCATACCTTCAGATGTCTAGTGGAATCCATGTCTCGATGGATCAGGGCTGTTTTAGCTGATGTTATGGCTGATCGGTGTATGTCGCACATTATGGCGCTCTGCTTTAAGGCAGCTCATTCATTTTAATGGGCTGCCTAATGCACCAGAAAAGGTGCATATAGATTTTTTGGCAACACATGTGCCATTCAAAATAAAATTCAACAAAGTGCACCAACATAGCAATTTGATCTGCCCTAAATCTGGCCTAAAATTTTGGATTTCCCCTTTCTTTCTATCTCAGTGACATTGATGACCAGGAAACACAGAGGAGTGAATCACCCTAGTGGACACACATACAGCAATAGGACTTAGTAGAGGGTCTAACCCTTCTCCACTCAATACAGAACTCAAAAAAGTTTTTCCTTTCATACACTGGTTCCCTCCCACACACCAAAGACATGCTGGTAGGTTAATTGACTCCTGACTCAATTGTCCCTTGTATGTGTGTATATCTAATATTTATAAAATATATAAAATACATAAGAGATCTAAAAATTAATTGGTATATTGGGAAAAGATCTGGGATGATATTTTTCATTCTCGACAACTGATCCTTGCAAATATTGTGTTAAAAATCATTCAAAACTACAGCATCCTCTCCTGATGACCGACCATCGACAGTTTGCAAAAACTTCTCGTATAGTTCATAAAAAAATAAGATAGCATAGATCATTCATGTGCACAGAGGCAGAGTGTTGAGCCTCGGGTCTAGTAGCTTCAGCCACAGGCAAGAACGATTTCAATGGGGCAGTCAAGTCTGGACCTTCTCCCAGGAATAAAGGGCAGGACAACTAAGGTCAGGGACAGATACTGCATGGAATTTTGAGTCCCTCTGAATCGGCAGCATGAATGCAGAAAGGATTGTAAGCTCTGGGCTGTTTACTAATAAGTTACTCTGTAGAACAACATCTTTAGCATCTGTCCTCATGTTCGACGTCGGTGCACCAGATTCCCACAGATTCATAGTCAACCCCAACATGTTGATTTCTAGAATTGCTTAATGTGGAGAAATCAGAAACTTTTGAAGTCTGCATAAATATATTTTAGCTATATATTAATATAGCAAAAAGACATTCAGTGCCTTGTTGAAACGTTGATCAATAAATGTATCTATGTTGCCTTGTTTTCTTCCACCGGATCGTTTGTATTTAACTGCCTTGGGTGCACCCGGGCAGCTTTTACTCTTATCTGAGTGTGGTGCCCAGCCCACCATTGGTAGTTTCTATAATAATATAGCAAGTGCAGCTTTTTTTCATAAAAGTTGCAACTTACATTATTAAAAAGCAGTATTTTGAGCTCCAGGCAAGTGATTGTGCCTAGCCTGAGAAGAGCAGCCTAGAAGAATGAGGTCATCAGTTTGCTGAAGTCATTTACTCAGTCTCCTCTTCCCCAGTGATCAGTCAGATTGAATCATTGTACAATAACTGTAGCAAGTCACATGGAGAGATGCAACAACAGGCAATAGATGTCTGTGAGACACACAGCCTATTGCATGGGCACCACAATTTAAAGAGACCCTAAACTCAGGAATTAAAGGAGAACTATGAGGTGAGTGATTTTTAATCAACCTCATAGTTCGAGCTGATGTGTGACAATGAAACTGTCACACTTCGGCTCAATAGATTGGGAAGTGAGCGAGCGCATACCGTCGCTCGCTCACTTCTCGATCATGTCCCTGCAGTGAGCCGTGACTGTCACTAACGGATCCCTGCAGGGATTTCCCCCTCCCTCCCTGCTCCGATCCTCCAGCACTGACTTGCGGAACGGACAGGGGAGGGAGCGGGTACAGCTGGCTCTGCCTCTAGATAGGCAGAGCCAGCTGTCAATCACGCAGCTGGGTGGATCTCGACAGTAATGTCAGGGTCCGTCCAGGCAGCGGCGGTCTCAGTATTCCGCAAGCCACAGCTTGCGATATACTGAGCTTTAGGTCAGTATAGTCAGCTTAGGAGAACTCTGGGGAAAACACTTACCCCATAGTTCTCCTTTAAGTTTTAATAATGCATTCAAGTACCTTAACAAAAATGTATGGTCCCTGTGTGTGTTTTAAAGTAGCCACTGCTCCAAGCTTGCTCCCGTGATGGACTACAACCTCAATACAATTTCCTAAACTAAACCTGAGATTGTAGTCTATTTCATATGCTGGATTAGAAATTTCACCTCCGTAGCAAACTAAGGCTTTGTAAACCTAGGCATACATGAGGAAAAGTGGATGGTTGTAAGCAAGTGATCTTGACTACGGAAAACCAAGTTTTTACCCTACACACACATCGACCATTTCATATTGTCTGAGCTCCCACTAATAGTTAATAGTATCTTTTTTTTTTTTTTATTTAGTACCCTGTACACTTATTTAATATACAAAATGTTGTCACTGAAACAGAGGGAAAAAATAGTGTGACACTTGTTTAGATGACAACTGTTATTTTCCTCCCAAGTGGGGAAGGATAAGAACCCTTGTCAAGTTTTACTGCTGTCAAGTGCTCTGTTACAGAGATTTTCCTTTTCTCACTGTCCCGGGAATAACATTTTCATCAGAAAGGAAGTGAAGGAAACTCTTCACGGCCCCTTTCAGGCGGGCTTTCCGATCAGGTCCGATCTGATTGGAAGCCCAATGTTAGTGTATGGGCAGCTGGATCTAAACGGATGGGCAATAGTAAATGGTAATAGAGATCAGAGATCTATTTTGCTGGGCCTGATCGGGCTGGATCGGGTGTAACTGGATGTATATGGGCGCCTGTCCATTTAGAACTGGCTGCCCATACACTAACATGGGTCTGGTATTGTCAGTTTAGTGATGGAGGAAAAAACTGTACGAACACTGATGTCACAACAATGACATCTGTTCCAATCAGGAGTAGATCTGTAAATGGATCCCTCCTGACCTGACCGTGCGAAAGTAAAAATAATGTTTTTAAATGCATGGGGTGGGAGGCTATAGCAGGCATGTCAGGGAAACTCTCTCCAACATAGCCTTCGATAGCAATAACAGCAAACAGGCGTACTAATTCTTACCCACTCTATCCAAAAGTATAAAAAACAGTTGGGGCTATAGATACACTTTAAACAATACATCACTGCATCCATTCTATTATATTTGCTTGTAGAGATTTCCCTTTTTGCTGTCCCAAGGACAACACTTTAATCAGACAGGAAGGGAGGGAAACACTTTAACAGACAGAAGTAAACATTTCTTTTTTTTAATGAAGGGGGGGGGGGGGGCAAACTTTTTTATCTGATAAAACATTGTCCCCAGAACAGGAAGCCAGAGAAAATCTGACCCTGATAGCCACAAAACCAAGCAGGGGATCTACTTTCCCCACTCTATCTAAAAGTAAGAGAAACCAGTTGGGGCTATGGATACACTTTAAATAATACATAATTGCATCCATTTTTATTATATTTTCTTTTAGTTTAGCATTAAGATAACTACCCGGTGGCCTTTGCATCATTTCATTTTCTATTGAGGTCAGAGTCGGTCAGGCAAAACTTAATTCCAGGTAAACTTTTCAAAAATAACTATGATACTCGTTAACTGGAAATATATATCCACCATAGTTATACCTTAAAACAAGGCAAATCATTTTACTTTTAAACATACAACCCTAAGCCTCCATGACTTGTCTCTGTCTTCTTTGATTACCTAGATGGCTTCAGTCATATAAAGGAGCAGCAGTGGATTCTTTACACGGGTCTCCTTGAAATAACAATGTCCTCTGAATGTTTATCTTATCATACGTATGTGTCACAGTGCCGTACAATAAATGAATCCACGTTTCATAAAGAACATTTCTCACTTAGAGCTTCTTCTCTATGGGCTCCTGTACCCTCTGCTGACCCTTTTCTTGCCAATGATACTTTTTTTTCCTCCTAGATAAAAGCTTGTAGCCCACAATCTCATGGATGACCTTGTGAAACTGTCATTGAGTGATCCATCTCAAAGTTCCCTGCACTTTTTCTTTCTTTTTTACAAAATTACACATACTGGTTTTTTTTTACAAATTATAATACAGCTCATTGCCCTGAGCATATTCCTGTTTGCTTAAGGGAAAAAATATTCAATCCAAATGTATAACTTTATAAAAACTTTAACTGGTCACAAGCTTTTCTATACCACTCACGTATTGCAGCCTTCGTGACCGGTAGGTAGAAGCTTGTTTTTTTTCCCTGACCTATACTTCTGCCCTTGGTGAACTGCCTGTTTTCCTTTGTGTGAGCTTTGAATGGAGCATTTTATAGAAATATAATAGTTTTTCTTAGTGCAGTGTATAACTAATGAGTCCAGGTTTTACAATGTTCTACATCCACAGAAAGGCACAAAAGGCACAGGACACGTTTGACCGGGTGGAAGGGCGGAATTTTTGTATGAACTCTTGCACTGGGGACTACTCCCTACTGCAAGAGTTAAGTGCTCATTTTGGTCTAAGGAGGAAAATAACAAAGTTCTACTCGGAGCCTACATGCTGTAAGACCGGTCCCTGGAGCCTCTTTGCCCCTTCGCTGCAGTGGCCTAAGGTCCTGTAAGTCATCCCGTTCTATACACAGAGGGGAATTTATCAAAACAGGTGGCGAAAAAATTTGGAGCAGTTGCATATGGCAAACAATCAGATTATCTCTTCAGTTTGTTCAGTTAAGATTTGATAATGAAATAGAGAAGCTGATTGGTTGCCATGCACAGCTGCTCCAGATTTTATCTGCTCTGGTTTTGATAAATTCCCCCAACAGTGTACAGGACATGAGGGTGCCAAGGGACATTCCATCGCTGCAGTAGAGATAGAGACAGGATTCAGGAAACGCTGTAACAACCGGCCGGCAAGAAGTATTGGGTGAGTAGAGCTTTGTTATTTTGCTCCCTAGACAAATATGAGCACTTAACCCTCACCGTGTGGGGGTAGCCCCACAGCAATGGTAATAAAGTGCTGCTATGGACATTAAAACCCACCTAAGAGTGGTCTGGTTTCTTTTGAAAGTACTGGGATATGGTAGAGTTGGGGATGGTCAAAGAGTGGGGATAACTGGTTATATCTAAATTACCCTAGTCATGTAAATCAATGTAATAATTTATCTTATATATACATATAGCAAAACACGTTGAAGATCTGGGTCACCCCCACTGGAGGAATCATAATCTTTAAGAGTTAATGTTGTTCATGACAATACACATAATCTGTGATAAATCAAGCTTTTCTCCTGAATTATGGGGGAGACCTGGGAGGGTACTTATTATACCATAAAAATCATAAAACAAACACTGTGAATCATGTATTTTACGATGCAGATCTTAATCTTTTAATGCCTTTTAAATTTTGTAAAAACAATAAAATATTGAATTTTACAATTGTGTGGTCTAGTGCCTTCGAAAAACCCACTTTTTGGTATGTGTGATGTATATATGATGGGGTTTGGCACTGTTGGGCTGAGTTACCACTGATGCATTGAGCTATATCTCATAATACATGAATTACATGTAAATACGAGTCATCAGTTGACATCACCTCACACTACATGCGCTCAAAACTGCATGCGTTAACTAATAACAATGCATATGCATTTTAACAGACTTTCAGAAGCTCTCCTATGTGCAGAATGAGCTGAGATCAACAACACGGGGGCATGACCTCCAACTAGCAGGAGGAAAGTTAAGAAGTAACCTTAGAAAGCAAACATCTCAACCCTCCCGGACATTCCGGGAGTCTCCCGCTATTAGATAGCGGCTCCCGGACACCCGGGAGAGAAACATTTTCTCCCGGAAAGGTTTACTCTGCTTTATCTAGCAGAGTAAACCTTTCCCTGCTATGTGTTTTTTTTTGTTCTGACATAGGGGCCGCCGTCAGTCAGAGAAAAACAAAACAGCATAGAAGTGAATAGCTAGATTGCTCTTGGCTATTTTAATTTGCAATAGCCAATAGCAAACTAGCTATTGCACCCGCCCCCTGCTGCTGTCAATCAGCAGGGGTGGACCTGACGTTCTTCATCAGGTACTCCTCTACTGATTGACAGCAAATTGATATAGCCAGTAGCAATCTAGCTATTCATTCCTATGCAGTTTTTTTTTTTTTGGCTCTGACAGCTGCAGGTGTCAGAATACTAATAAAAACCCCAGCAGATAGCAAGGGAAGCGTTAGCTTCTTTGCTATCTTCCATCATTTCAGGGGGGTGCTCTCTCCCTCCACTCCACGGGTGTGTGGGGGGGGGGGCTTTTTGGTAGAGGGCACCTCCCTGAAAGGACTTTTTTCAGGTTGGAATCCCTGAGTAAGTATTGTTTTACTGAAAGAGTAGTTGATGTATGGAACAGTCAACAGTAAATTAATTTAATCATGCTGGGAATAAACATACTGTAGATCTATAGGGTTACAAAAAAAAAAAACAGAACTAAAGGACAAAAAACCAAATGGTCTTTTTTTCTGGGGTCATAGCCTTTATATGTTTCTATGCATGATCCAATATGTTTTGTTTGGATTTTTTGTCATCTGCCTAGTCATAACCTTTAAAGACACATAAAAATGCATGTATGCAAGTTCCCATGCAAGTGTTTTAATTCCTGTGGTGGCTCGGAATGTATGTCAAATGCAGTATGTCAACTTTTCCCAGGATGCTGCAATGCAGTATGCTCACCAGAACAAGACTAACTATGTAACTATGTAAGGCCGATTAGGCATACATTTAAATGCACTGCCGTGTGAATGAGCCAAACAAACACACAAAAATACAAACTTGTAAGTACTCACCTCCTGCATGGCATATGCATTCTGAGTCTTCTTGATGGTAAGCTGAAGAATATTCATAATACCTCTAATCACATTGAGTATAGTCTGTGATAGGCCTCTTGGTATGTACAGCTCTCCAACTTGTCCACGGCTGTACTCAAACTTGATTGGTGTGGCAAGCTGTTTCTCTAGTAACTTGGTTAGTTTGGTAGAACTTGTAAACTTATCTGTTGGCCAGATGCCATTAAATTCTTGCATCTCTAGGTTACGAATCTAAACGATATAAAAAAAAACCACACAAATATAAATGGGTATTTTGAAGCCCAATTGAAGTCACAGGAATAGATATTCAGTCAGATAGACTTTGTACTAAGAGCTTTCATTATCATAGTTCTAATATACTGTTACTGGGACAGTAGCTTAGCAGGGTGTCTAAATATGGCTTTGTAGTCCAATAAACACCAAAGAAATACCCAGTGATCTCAGTAATGTAACAGATCTGGTAAGACATGATGACCCTTTCGAAATGTTTTTTTGGGAGAATGAATTGCGGCTTAATAATATTTATATAGTGCAACCCATTAATATGTAAATCTCACAAGCAAGACTATTTTCAGTGGGGGCCCAGTAGCTCCTTTCTTAATTTTGGTTGCCCCTGTCTGCCTGACATCTTGTGTCCAGGTTTCAGCTGCCATGAAACCTGGACACAGCATTAAAATCCTGGACGGTCCAGGCGGCAACCCTAGGAACGAAGAGAAGTGGGAATAGTGCAGACCTTTTGCAGCCGACTTGTCTCACCGAGGTACTGCACCCACCAAGTTCTTTGGTGTAGAGTGATATGTTACCTCATGCATGTGATGCACAAATGGCTGGTACTTTTACCACAGACGATACACTATAGGCAGAGGCTGTAGAGAACAATGGTGCTGTTGGCAGCAGATGTGGCCCAAAAGGCCACACTGCAGGGCTTTTTTTTTATTTGCTGCGTATTCACGTGCTCATGTACTGTTATTAGTCAGTTTCTACCAAACACATACCTGAAGTCTATATTTTGAATAGTTTGTGAATAACTGAGGAAATGGGGATAGGAGGATGATAACAGGTTCGGGGAATGCTGGGTTGTAGTTCTCCTACAAACTGTAACTACATCTGTATTGGAATACACGTTAAAACTATCTCTGATGCTTATTTTGTCTGGAGATAGACAAAGGAAATTACTTTACAATTACACTGAGTTTAGTTGTGTCTGACTGTCCCTTTATGCGGTCAACTTAACTTAGAGCTTAAGCAAAGGAAATATAGAGTGGTTTTGTACATATTTTCTTTATTTATCATGGGCAGAACTGAAATAAAATAAGATTTTAAAAATGTTTTTTTTTAAATTTTGTTAGCTAGATAAAATGAAATATTGCTTCGATATGGAGTCCTTGATCCTAGAAAGCTGATCTGAGCCAGTCCCCCCTCCTCAACTACACAATTGTTTTGTGCAGTTGCAAAAAGGGCCTAATACAAATTCTTTTACTTTTTTGCTCTGAATATTTCCTGAAATGTTTACAAAAGTATCCATAAATATTATTGAAAATTATTTTGCTCAAACATGAAATGAAAACAATGTAAGCTTTATGTAATATATGCATAGTGGCCCTTTAAGTACAAAACACACACAACAAAACAGTGGAAATTGTTTTAAATCCAACCCGAGGTTGAAGTGTATTCCCCTAGAAGAAATTTTCTTTGAGAAATCTGGAAGTGCTTTCCACCTAGTAAAGTTTGATACACATCGCCATATATCATGCTGTACCCTTGGGCACCAGGAAAAAAACTGCGCTGCTCAATAATTGGAACAGTAGAACATGTACGTCCTATAGATGGGAAGCAGCCGAGCGCTGCACTCTACCATTAAAACTCGCTGCCAATGAAAGTGAAGTCATTCCATCTTAATACTTTACACATTTCCATTCAACAAGGTTTGTGGGAATTCAGAAGACATTTGTATCAGTCTTTGTATTCTTTACCCGATCTTAAAAGAACATGCCTGTGACAACTACACAAAGGACCTTTTGTCTGCAAGTGTTTTTCTGTCATTGGGTCGACATGTGTTTCTCATTGACGATGAGGCATGCCGAACTCCCGTCAAGCGGACACTGGAGTCAAACATCACAATATGGTGTGCAGGTCGGTGTATGTAGCTCCTGTGTGCCCTGTTTCAAAATAATGGCATGGTTTGTTTAATTTTTTTTTTTTACCTGGGTCATTTGTGGCTAAAATATCTAGGCTCAGGATGCTGAGAAAATGATTGTCCCGCTTAAGCCGCAGCTACCAGGTCACAACAGTGCAAACTACAAGTAGTATCATCTGGTAAGCTGTCTAAGTGTACTGCAGTCTGAAAGCCTTACTCTATGGACTATCATGGTTGGTGGAGTGTACATTATGTCCTATGGTAGTAGCAGCTTTGCTACATAAAATGGAAGGACTTAGGACCTTCAGCAAGGTAATGTCATGGCAAGAGTCAGTTCCTCCACAAAACAACCTAGAAAGAAACCTTGGGCCCAGCGGCTGTCCAGTGGTCCATTTACAACCTTAAGATAAGATAAATGTAAGTGAAAGTGTTATTGGTGATACAGAAAGAGAAAATAGCTTCAGGAAATACACTCCCAGTTGCCCTGTGGGTTGCTGATTGGCTTTTGGTTTTAATGCTTGACATGGAACTCAGATTAAGGCATCTGACACTAGACATGTAAGCTGCAGAAGAATTTGGTTCGGATATTTCATTATTTCGGAATTTGGGATTCCGGTCCCAAATTCAATTTGGTTCGGGTTTCGGATTCTGTAATACCTCTTATGATAAATGATGGAACTCAGCTGCGCAAGTCTCTTAAACAAAACTTTTACTTCACGGTAATGACAGTCTCCATGAATAAGGTTGCCTCAGTAGTAATGTTTGCATCACATCACAAGAGAAAATTACTGAATGAGCATCTCACTGTTGACATAAATCCAATGTTCACATCACAGTTGTAATGTTATCCTCACATCACAAGGTTAATGTTTGAAGTCAATGAGTAGTAGTAGTAAGGTGTAATGTTAACTTCACATCACAAGATTTAGCAGTAGCTTAAAATAGATTGTAGCGGCAGAGGGCATTTGTATTGCTGGATTAACAGCACAAGTCATTATGGTTGTGTGCATATCATCAGCTGTGGCATTGAATCCTCAGCTGTAGCTCGCGGTATACTGAGCTTAGGGTGACGGGAGGACGCTAGTTTGTGTCCTCCCGTTACCCTAAGGAGAACTATGGGGAAAAGCACTAACCCCATAGTTCTCCTTTAAATACAGAAGTGAAATGAAAAATCTGGGAAATCCTTTCTACAAACTGAGCATGCTGCCATGTGTGTATCAAAATAAAATTTACATTTTGCCCATGGTAGAAAATTATGTCAAGTTTCATGTCACTATTATTATAATTAAATCAAATTTCTTGCACCCGATTATACATGCCATATCCTTTACAAAAAAAAATAAAATAGGAGCCTATCTTTAATATAATTGTGCTATGGAATGGAATATGAAAACGCACACCAGCACGGTATGTGTGTACGCTGTCGGCTTATCAGTTCGGTCGTAGTCTGCAGCACCTGACAGCTGATGATTGAATAATAGATGATTAAATAATAGCCCAGTGTTCAGTTTCACAGCAATCACATCGATCCAATAAAGGTTTGTTGTTCAGTTCAAATCATTTTCCTTTGTGTTCCCGAGCAGAAAGCAGAACAAATCCTTTAAGTCGGTGGCTGGTGGATATTATCTGGCATATGTTAGAAATTGCATCAAGAGCACTTCCTAAAATAATAGATGTAATTGCATCATGCTCAGCAAGCAGAGCAGAAAATTAAAGTTTTCTCTTCTTACATAGTTTAACACAATGAGAAACTTGTGTTCTCCCTCTCTTACCTTCAGGAAAAGGATTCTGGGAGAAGCCGCGCTGATCTGGACCCTGCACTTCACTTTAAGGCCTGCTTTTGCAAAGCCGTCTTCTGGCAGACCTGTCACCACTTGGCCCTCGTAGGCGTAAGTAAAGCTCTTGGTGCTGGGAAACTCCAGATCTGCAAATTAATTTTTGGTACAGCACATTTAGAATTTTATCGCTCAATGGGCATATTTATTAATTAACTCCATGTCCCTTTTATTTGCCTTAAACATGCATTGGAAGATCCTTTGTATTTATAAAGATCATTAGCCGGGTCCACCGGGGGGGGGGAGGGGGTCCACTTTTTTAACCACTTCGCTACCAGAGCAATTCTGATTTTTTAGCTAGAAAACTAATTTAAAACATCCCAAGTAATCATATGTTTTCTAAAAGCAGAGACCCCATAGAATAAAACAATGCTAGTTGCAAGTTTTTATGTGGCAAGGTATTTGCACAAATGTTTATCAAATCAATACTTGTAGGAAAAAATACACTAAAATTCCTTATAATGCACACAAACACAATATAATTCCCAATTTTTGAATAAAATATCAAAGATCGGTTTGCATTGGGTGAATGGATACAAAACATATCAAGCCTTAGAATAGTACCGTATTTGCCGGCGTATAAGGCGACTAGGTGTATAAGACGACACCCTAATTTTCCACTTAAAACATAGGTTTTGGGCTATACTCGTCCTATAAGACTACCCCACTTCCGAGGCAACACTATTTAAAAACATAATGGATGGATTACTGTATGTACGGTAGCTTCAGCTACATACAATATACAGCGCTGAGCCAATCACGGCGAGCAATGTATTCTATTAATGAATACAAAGCCTGCTTGGATTGGCAGAGGTTGTGTACATCACTCGCCGTGATTGGCTCAGCGCGGTATACTGTATGTAGCCGAAGCTACCGTACATACAGTATTACCGCACATCCAGCGGGCTGACAGATTAGGGATGTTCGTTGTGGGCCAGCTTGGCCTAAATGAACTAAAGGTATACACTGTATACCTCGCGTATAAGACGACCCCCGATTTTCGGGGATGTTTTTAGGTATAAAAAGTAGTCTTATACGCCAGCAAATACAGTACATGCCTGTGAAATGGCAAAAAAACTGGGTACCCAAAATTGGCCATAGACAACGCTTCAAAAGCCTTTACGGCTCATCCATTTAGAGTTGACAGTGAGTGATGGCCTTAGAGTTATTGCTGTCACTACAACATTTCTGGCAATATGTTACATGTGTGGCAAATAGTTTTCGCAAGTAGGCGTAGTCGATGCATGTTTGCATTTGCATGTGCATGTAAGTGGGGGGCTTTAAAAAAAGTTTGCTTTTTTTACATTTATGAATGAAATGTAACTTTCATTTTATAAACTTTTTTTTTTTTTTACACACAACTTTTTTATTGCTGTGTGATAGAATAATGGAACTGACAGGTCCTCGGGGGTCTATTAGACCCCAGGTGTCACCTATGAACCACACTGATGCTGATCACAATCACAGATCATGCTTCACCAGCTTCATCTCCGGCCACAGCGGCTGGAGAAACGACAGCCTGAAGCAGACTCTCCTTTCTCCATCTGTTTACTAGTTTGTATTGAGATTGTCCATCATGGCAGCGAGCTTGGTGCAGTGGCTACTTTACAAAACACACAGGGACCATGGGGGACAAAAGTAGTCACACTCCAGAAGGAAGGACAGTGTCAGCACCAATTCAGAGATGATTTGAGGATCTACAGCCAAGTGATACACAAATAAGATACATCTTTGTTAATAGGGTACTTGAATGTATTTCTAAGATTTCACTTATAAGTTTAGTGTCACTTTAACCCTTTTCCTCAACTCTACCACTTTCCCTCTCTGTGTATATTAATATACATCGTAAAAATGACCCCAACCTTTACCATTAGACTATATTTGCGCTACCCACCTATAGTTCTGGGCTTGCATTTGACCTTTAGGGTGTAAAATAATGATTTGCATGACTCAACCTACTGTCCTAAAATGAGGAGTAATCCTATTATGGCATAGGTTCCAGAATATGACATGTGAATACCTTCTGTCCTAAGAAGACTCTACTGCCTAATCTTAATCTTAAAACTGAGCCCTGACCTAACCCTTACACTGACC